ACCCCTTTGAGACGGGTCCTGGCGCCATAGGCCTCGGCTGTTTAGCATTTTCTGCAGTCGTCCTCAGTAGAAGGTTTTATGCTTGGTCGTGTTTGATGACAGACAAGGCAGGTGAGCGGCCCAAAGACGGACTGCTTATTTTAACCATTACAGCGATTAAAAAAAAGCTTTTGAAGCTGATGGATTACTTAGTCAATGAAGCTTAAAAAGTTAGATCATTATTCAACCCGATCACACTAAATGCGTCTCTATATAGCACGCATTCTGTTTATCGTGCAATTTCTATGCGAAAATGAGTTTTTACGTGCATATGATACGCATGGGTATAGGTTTAGGGTAGGTTTAGTAGTGGTGTCGCTGTCGGGTGCGTATGTAGGCCTATTATACGTTTCGGTAGGATTAGTGGTGTGGGGTGCGTGTGTATTACACGCAATAAAGTGCGTATCAAATGCACGCGAAAACTGCACGTAAAAACTAGGAGTGTAACGGTACATGTATTCGTATTGAACCGTTTCGGTTCGAGGCTTCCGGTTCGATACGCATACAAACCGAACGATTCCGTAGACCATTTTTCCTGCCGACAAAATTCGCGCTGGCGCGACCACCACAACGTTGCGCAACATCAAATGGCAAGCGGAACGGAACTGCGCTACTCATTAGTCATTATGTGCTTCACGGATCGTTTATCAGTTCGGACCAGCAACATCTGTGCAGCGCGAGGCGATCTTGTTCAAGCGACACTGTTACAACACAGCGCTAAGATCCAGTAAAGAAAACATTTGAATTCGCCACTGAAGTAATAACATCGCTGCGAGATCTAGTGAGAAGCATTCACATTTCTCCGTTATTAACCGTAGATCTCTATTGGATCAAACAGCGCTGACGTGGACACCAGGAGAAATATTGTGCCGTGAATGAACTAGTAATACTTTACGTCCACAGACCAGCAACATTCACCATGGATTTAATATAGTAACACTAAATGTAACCAGTTTGGCTGGAATAGTGAAATGCTTTCAAGTACTTCACACATCTTTTTCCAGCACTTCAAAACTCAAATATTATATAAATAAATATATGAAGAGTTCAGATGCAAAAGCCTCTAAGCGCCATTTGAAATTTTCTTCTAGAATGATCATTTTTATGAAGCTTGTATATTTAAGTTCAGTAATTTCACTCAAATGACAATTAATAGGTAATCTTCATTGCCATTTAAGTGAAATTACTGAACTTATATACAAGCTTGATAAAAATGATCATTCTAGAAGAAAATTTGAAATTGGCTTTTGCATCTGAACTCTTCATATATTTAAATGTTATTTTTAATGTGATGACCAAAACATTTGTTCATCCTTCAAAAATGACACCCATTTATAAACCTGAAAGTTTCAAGATGTAGGAAAACTCACACTTATTTAAAAAATATTTTTTCTTTTAACAAATAGGAAATTTCTCTGGCATTTCTTACTTTTTGCTGTATCGAAAATGTACCGAACCGTGACTTTAAAACCGAGGTAGGCTACGTACCGAACCGTGATTTTTGTGTACTGTTACACCCCTAGTAAAAACAAATTTTTGCGTATAAATTGCACGATAAACACAACCCGTGCTATAGAGACGCATTTTCGGCCATGCCCCTGTTTTTAACTTGAGTTTAACTTTTTAACAATAGTTTCTTTTGTGAGAATTCTAGGACTAACTCCTCCTTGGTGGGCGGGACTGCCCTAATTAAAACCAGCTGCACCTGTGGCAACCTACCGGTATTTAAGAAGCTCCTGGATTTTGTCTTGTTCCTCTCTCATTTTTGTTTTGTCTTTATTTGAAGAGTGGGTTCTTGAGTTTGTGATATGATTTCCACAACTTTACAAACGTCATTTCCAACAGTTTATTGATTTGATTTTATATTGTTGTTTGCTATTATTACCTTATGTTTTGACCCTAGACATTATTTGTTTAACATTAAATCAACTTATATTTTCTCTATTGAAACCCTTCTTGTGAAGAGTCCTCTTTATGTTATGACTTTGAGCCGGGTCGTAACACTCATAAAGTATTTACGCTTAGAGATTTCAACCAACGCTTTTAAATAATGAATAGTTTACCCCAAAATTAAGTTTTTGACATCATTTAGACATTCCACCTATAATAGAATCACTGATATACTATCATAGTTTTTATTAATATTTTGAATTAGGTTTTGTTTTTTATATTTACTGTTTTCCTTTTCATTTTAGTTGAAAAATAATGAAAATTATCCCATGATTTGGGTGAACTATCCCTTTAAAGTTTTAGTAGTTTAGCTGTGGTTTTATCATTTTTATTAGTTCTCGGTTTAATTATTTTGGTACATCAAGTTAAGCTAAATTAAAATGAGAAATTTTGCCTTAGTAGCTAACTACAAAAAAAATAAATCAGTTATATTTGTCTGTATAGGCTATATATATATATATTTCATTATATTACAAACAAAATCCTATAGATTTATATTGAAGGAGGGACTCAAGCCATTTATGCTAGAAACTTTGGCCTGTTTTGACTATTATTTTTCATCATCTAATGAGCTTTGGTTTGGTATACTTTTGTATCTTTTAAAAATGTGCATGTCTTACCCTGGTGACAGTACTCTTCTGGAGCTATAGTCTGCAGAGAGAAACAAGGTCTAAAAGTCCCAGGGATCTTGAACATGCCTATTGTTTTCATGTGGAGGAGGTTGTACTGGGAAATGATATTTTTGGAGCACTGCACATCACCTCCTGTGATTGGCCTGTGTTTTTGGGCGAGAGAATTGAGAAACACGCACAAGGCTGCTCTAGGATTATGCATTTCTCCAGTTGTTCTTTAGAAGTAGACATTTATGACTTGAATTGATAAACTATCAGCTTCGCCGTTTTGAGCTGAACACATTTTAAGGACTTTGTGTTTCTGACTGAAAGAGATCCAAGAGGGAGTCATCACTCATTTTGATGTATGAATGTGTTCGTTTAAAATAGGTAAGCAATCGTGAGTTTAAGTCTATAACTCAAACGATGTTTGAACCTGAGCCAAAAGCACACACTTTGGGAAATTCTCTTATTGCCAACAGCCACATTTGAAACTCCTGTCACCTTTTGTGACCTTTCAAAGTAATTATTTGATAGTGAGGACTAGTTGCCCTCTGCACCAAACTTGATCTACAATCGCAAATAAATGTGAAAAAAACGGATGCCCTTGGGGACCAAAGGTAAAAATAGTTTAAAACAGTTTCTAAATTCCAATGAGAATATAAAACTCCAGGAATCCAACTTTTATTGGTTTGTTAAAAATTGATGAGCCTTGGCTAGAGGTGAAGTGCCGTATAAAGAATGTAATGCAGCAAAAAGTTACATTTCTTAAAATGATGTTCTCTGCATCACATTCTGATGCTCTAATCCTCCCTGAACTGAAACATTCAGCACCAGGCTCACTAACACCACTATTCCTGCTGTTGTTTCTGAGCTGTTAGCTGTCACTGAGAATACATATTTCTCTGAATAATATGAAATGGATGTGTGTAGTTCCCTTTCGGATGAGAACTCGCAGTCTCACTGGGTCTAAGTAAGACGCTAATGCCCTCAGCGTGACTGATGTCTGAAGCACGTGTCAAAGCACGACAATAAGACTGTGTTACAGAGGGCACAGCTCATCATTTACACTTAAGAGGTGTCCAGTGTCTCTGTCAAAGACTCCATAGAGCATTTCACACTATGCATACGCTCCGGGTTTAATGCATTTTTGTTTTCTTACCCAGAGGTTGAGAAGCATTTCTCACCAAATTTTCAAAGCTGTTGTGATGCTGGATAAACTTCTGTCTGTGCAGTGAGAAACAGTGCGATGCCATGTTTTGGTGAGTTGTTTTGCAACAGAAAGCAAATCATAAACAAAACAATAGTTGTTAAAATATTAATACACTTGGTACAGTCACAGACTGTTTCAGCATCTGAAGGAAGCAGCAAAAGTCAATGTTTGCAACCCTTTTCACTTCTATTGTGGTGAATATCCAAGTGAAACAGGCTAAATATATTTGAATGATAGATATTTACAGGTAAGGATAAATAAGAAGACTAAAATATTACAAACATTACACGATTTTTTTCACCATAATGTGTTTGAAACAACACACTGGATTCTGAAACACCCAATGGTGCAACTTTGGACACCATTTCAAGTGAGTTCAAGTTGTTTCGTGGCATCCAGGGTTCGATGAAGAACCTTTAACATCCATGGGAACTTTTTATTGCATTTATAGTGGAAAGGGTTTCATAGATCGTTGAAATGCTATATATATATATATATAATATATATATATAAAACAAATATTACCATATTTTATCAATCAATACTCGTCCAATTAATAGAGTTTGCCTTTAAATATGCAAATAAGAACTTTAATTAACCTGGAAAATCTCTGCAGATTTTACAATGACTTCCAGAGGACTTTCTAAAGGTAATTCTTGAAGTTCATCTAGCACATATCACAACGTCTCTGGTGCCTCTTCTTCACTTAAACAACATTTTTTACAGTGTTTTGTCATATCTGAATCTCTAAAAGCGAGAAGGTTTGATACTGATCCTAAACCAGTTTTCAGCCAGGAGGCCAGGGCCCCGGGGCCTCAACAAACTTAAGGGGGCCTTACAATGACTTAAAATATTGTTGTGGAAAATTGGGGGCACTGAAGTCAAAAGGTTGAGATCCACTGTCCAAAATGAAATCGTTCAAGCGGCATGCAGTTGTAACGTTAATATATTATAATATAATAATAATATAATACATTACTTTGCATATTAAAGCATGAACAGTGTAAATATGTGGAACAAGATGAAAAAAGATTTGGTTAAGGGTTAACAATTCCTTATTAATAATGCCACAATAATCTAATTAGGTACCCCCACAAATGGGAATAATAACAACCTTTTAATCAACCCCACCTCCACACACACACACACACACACACCTCCTTGATGTATGTGTGTGCCTGACAGCATCTGACTGGTTGCTGCTCAGTCCACCGCTTGGTGGAGACTGGTGAGAAGTATAGACACTCTGGCTCAGAGCGGGATAAACACGGGACGAAGGTGGAAAAAATACGAACTCTCCATCACGCTTTAGACTCGAATTAATCACCGTGTGCTCATTCGGACCGGGAGATTTGTAGCTGCCGCAGTGGCTTGTTCCAGCAGCGGGCATTTGCTGCTTGATACCCGGACGCGTCCGCAGTGCTGGATTTTGCAGTTCTGAAGTAAATTAGATCTACAGACCAACACTCTCTCATCATAAAACCTTGACTGGTGGCTTGTCATCTTAAAAGGTAAGGCTTCAAATTGCATTAAATAAATAAGAGGCGATTAAGATTCTCTTTAGTCTAGTCAACTCTGTCAATATCGCAGTGGTCTTTTGTATTGATATTCACTCATCGATTCCACATCTGTTTCATTGGATTCTGCGCACCGGTCATAGGTAGCTCGCGAGGGGCTGTTTTTCCCTGTTCTGTGCGAAACATTTCTGCTATACCTGTACCAAGGCCGTCTTATAGGCTATGGAAGGGCACGAGGAAATTAGTATTCAGAGTTGGGCTACTCCTTTGCGACTGCTTCCGATGAGACCTTCGAGCCTATCGATACAGTGCTGTTTCATGCGATACAAATTAGATTTTAAGCAAGCGACAAATGTAAGACACAAAATAAAACGAGCGGAATGGGGGAAAAAAGTAAAAGATGTCATTCAAGGGGCCGTTCAGACAGTTCGCGTTCTTGCGTTCAAAAACAGCAAGACGGAGTGCAACGTAGCCTAATGGAATGGATCGCAGGTGTTTTGAAGTTTAACTGTTTTTAACTTGACAACGCCGTCTTAAAACGCAACGCTCATGGCGCATGGCATGTGAGACGCGACGTAACGGCCAAAGATTGGTCTGACGCATGTGTGCACCTTGTTGCGAATTATGGGTTTGGGGGTTCTAATCAAGGCTTTTACCTCCCTTCCCAGGACTGTCAATCAAAACAAATAGTTGAGGGGTTTCACATAATAGCCTACATTAACTAGTTTAATTGTAGACTATATATTACCTACGTAAGAACATTTTCAACAACGTTATCAAACTACTTTTTGAATAGCAAAATTGTTGCATTTTCACTTGACGAAAAGTCTTGCGAACAGAAATTGCGTTCGCCCTTGGCTGTAGGCTACCCATAGCAACAGCACGCCGTTCCGTTAGAGTCAATAAGCTATTTGACGTAGCCTATACATCGGCAAAATTTAGGCTACTGTAGGCTAATTATCTATCACTTTACTTCAAGAGTAACATCACATGATCAGTATATCACACCGACCGTTTAAACGTAAAAAAAAAAAGCTACGTCAGTCACCTCAAAACATTGAACCCCACTAATTATACATTATATTAGAATCGTTCTTCGTCAATACGATTGTATAATTCGCACACTACCGCAGACGGAACGCAAGAACTCACATGTGAACGTTCTTTAAGAACGCAATGGAGTAAGCTCTCAGAAGAGGGAAATCAATACACAGCAAAGCTTTTCAGAACGCTGGACAGAGCTCGGTGTGAGTCTGCCTCGTGATTCTGCTACTGAATGGAACTGGCTTAGATCCTACTTGCCAATGGCATCACACTTTTTTAAAAGAAAAATAATGATGTGACAAAAAAAAAAGAAGAGATTTTATAGCTGACCTGGAGTTTTGAAGGAAGGTAAGTTATCTTACAATCTTAAAACTGCCATGAAATGAAATTAGCTTTGGGTATTTATGTAAAAATATGTTTTGAATTGAGACCTTGCAAAGGCTCTTTGTTTGTTTTGTGATTAAATTTCCTCTTGCAAAGTCATGGAGACTCAGTTGACCATAAAAAGTTAACCCTATTTAGCCTAATTCTGAGGGACTCAAGATCTAGCTATTAATTTTAATGAGCTATACATGTTGGGTTTGTTAGCCATAGATGAATGAACAAATATAGATTCCTAACATCCAGATCACAGCGTTTGCAAATGTCCACTTGTCCAGTTCATGATTTCATGCTGCTCACAAACAAAGATTTTGTTGTCTATGCAAAAAAAGTTTAGCATTCTGTGACATATATATGAGCTATACACTTGTGTGCATTCCTGGATATTACCTTTACTTATTTTGGCAAATTGTTCACATTTCTGATTTGTCCAATAGCAGACAGCAATATCCAGCATGTTCCAAATATTCCATCAATCCAATTCATTTTAATAAATCAATATACTGGATGGGATGAAATGTGATGCCCTGATGTATTGCATAAATGTGGGAACCTCACAGAGATCAAAGACTCTCTCTCCCTCATGCACTTTATACCACTTTTCTTGCCCATTCTCATCAAATTCAGAAGGCTGCCCTACTTGCATTCATGAGTGATGATTTTCGGGAGAAGGGCTAAAACTGGTAGCCTGAGTGTCTGACAATACGAGTTCTCTTTGATGGTCAGAAGACCAGCTAAATGGAAGGCTTATTCAGTTTAGCTCTCAGACAGTTTGAACTTGCAGCATAGGTGACTAGGTGTGTTTGTATGCCATCGTGGTCTAAAGCAGAGATCTATTTTGACTTGGTGAAAGTAACACATTTTCTAACTCAAAAATGAAAATCATCATTTACCCTCCCTCAAGTCGTTATAACTCATTTGCGTTTCTTTCTTCTGTGGAACACAAAATAAGATATTTTGAAGAAGGCTGGGTTTTCAATGCATTTCATTAACTTTCTAAAAGTTCAGTCAGATCGATTGACGAGTTTATATCCGATTGTGCCATCAATATTTATGTGGATGCATTGCAAACATAAATATCTGTAACACTTTACAAATAGGTCTCATTTGTTAACATTAGTTAATGCGTTAGATAACATTAACTAACAATGTTAGTTTACATTGTATTAACAATTGGTAACAAATACAACTTTGGATTTTAAAAATGTAGGCTATAAGTACAGGTTAAAATCACCATAAACTAAGATTAATAAATGCTGTAGAAGTATTGTTCATTGTTAGTTTGTGTTAACTAGTATAATTAACTAATGTTAACAAATGAAACCTTATTGTAAAGTGTTACCAAAATATCTTCTCAGAGGGTCAGTAAATGGTGGAATTTTCATTTCCAGGTTAACTGTCCCTTTAAGAAAGAATTTGGAGATGAGTCAGTTGTAATTTGTATGTTTTTGGAATTGTTAAAATGGATGAAAATGGACGTGGAATTTCCAGCCTTCACACTGGCCAGTGAAATCCCCCTTCTCATAACATTAAACATAAAATGTATTCTTCTTAACAGTGCCTGTGTCACATCACGCAGCATTTTTGAGTTCACCGTGGACAGAAAAATTGCCTGTCACTGGAAACTTGTCGCATCACGCCTATTTAGGACACGTGTCAGGTGGAGTATCATATTCATTACGCATATTCATATCAACATATTCAGTCTCAACAGTGCCACCTGCAGCATCATTAAACTCTCATCCTCTCTAAATGTTATTACAGCCTTTAGAAAGGCAAGGGCGTGCTGTCGAAGATGTAGCGTTGCTATGGTTTCCTTGACTTTGATCGGCATCGCGGTGTGTGACACTGGACACGCGCTCATTACCGGCTCCGCGCATCAAACGGCACCTTGCATCTCGCTTGGCTCCGAGCTCATAAAAGAGTGTATTCCCCAGCTCGCTGCTGAGCTTGTTAGAGTCACATTCAGATTGTGATGACAGACGCGCTATGTAATCAAGAAGTTATTGCTCAGCGTCAGCGTGGCCCTCACTTATCATACACACTGATAACAGAAATCAAACCTCTCGCGTCAATCTACAGGCAATTGGGCATTGACTCAGCCTATCACACTTTCAAGGATATGAACAGCTGGGGGTGTATTCATTGTACATCCCCTTATGTCTCACTATGTATTGGGTCAATATCTCCTGACATTTACTTGGATTAATGCGCAACAAATCAACACAGAATGGAGGTCAACCACACTCACGCCACAGACGAGGACGCAATCTTGGGGAACACGATTAATAATGTGTCCACCTTCTGACCTACTTACATAGTTATGAATATTTTAGACATTTTTATGCATGCAAATTGACTGTAAGTGAAAAAGAAACTGTGTTATAATTTAACAGAGACTTGTTAAGTACCCTTTGCATGTCAAAGAGAAATTATGTGCATGGCTTTCAAAAAAAAAGATCAGATTTTTAAAACAGAACGGCTTTGTTACGTAAGATCCTGCTCAAACAGGAGAAATAAACGGGTACAAAAAAAATCCTTTTTACGATTAGAGGAATAATTTTAGCCAAACAGCCGATATATACGGCGCTAAAGAGGCAATGATGTAGAAGTAGGCGTTGATCTTCTACAGAGACGGCCTTTCGTCGCACTATTACACCATAATGTGACAAAAACCAAAACGAGTCGTTTGTGCAGCTTGGTTTCAATAAAAGCTGTTTTTGGACTAACAATGAAGTTTTGAGTTCTGAAACCTACAGGATTTTTTTTATAGTACAATGACCTCTTATATGTCAAATGACCCCTTTAATGTGAAATTAACTGTGCCAAGTTGAAAGTTAGGGTGTATTCACACCAGGAAAGTCCGATAGTTCACTTGCTTTGGTCCGGACCAAATAACATTTTTTTTTTTTTTTGGTACGGTTCGCTTTCACACTGCCCTTTTTGCAAGTGAACCAAAATTTGTAAACAAAACCACACGTGTGCTAAGGTCGTCCATTCATTGGACAAGGATTCTCAAGTAGGGAAATCAGGAAGTGCAAAAAAAGGCTTAAAGGCAGCATCATCCTTGTATTGTAACTATCGTTACATTATATGAACTGCAAATGCTCTTTTTTTTGCATATGCGCGATTAGACTAAAGAGAACGCTCTGTATGTGAATGTCCTGATGCACACACTCATTCATTTATTCCATTCCAATGATGCACACACGACAGATGTAATGTAGTAGGCTACAACAGATCACTTTCCCATAACGCAACTCCAACTACGGAAGCCTGTTAACTCAAAGGCGCAGTGCTTTCTTGCAATTGGGTCGGTTCATGTTCACATCGTAAACGAACCGTACCAGAGTTCGTTTGGAACCGTACCGAGACCACCTCTTCAGCTGGGTCTCGGTTCGGTTGTTTGGTCCGCACCCGAGTTCGATTGCTGTATTCACACCTGCCCAAAAAGTCCGCACCAAGGGGGGAAACGAACTAGAGTTCCATTCAATCGAACCAAACAAGGCAGGTGTGAATACACCCTTAGTCAAGAGAACTGTGTGAACAGAGTTTTTTTTAAAGCAACC